ATGGGCGGAGCTCCTGCTGGAGGCGGGGGTTCGCGCCTAGGCCTCCGTCCCTGCCCTGCCTCAGTTTCCGTCTTCCCCCCGCAGTTCATGGAGCTGATTGAGCAGGTGGAGCGGGGCGTGGCGCCAGGCGAGCTCCTGGCCGCCTTCAACGAGCAGAGCACGTCCGACTACCTGGTGGTCTACCTGCGGCTGCTAACGTCCGGGCACCTGCAGCGCCACGCCGCCTTCTTCCAGCACTTCATCGAGGGCGGGCGCGGCGTCAAGGAGTTCTGCCAGCAGGTGGGCGGGGTCTGGGCCAGGAGCCTGCCAGGGGGCGGTGCATGGGGTCACCAATGAAGCAGGGCTGTTCTCTGGGGCTGTGGCCTGGGCAGGAGCCAGAGCTGGTGTGATGGGGAAGGGCTGTGTGTGCTGGGAAGGGGCGGGGCCTAGAGGAGTAATCTGCTCTGGTGGGGGAGGGGGCAGGCTTCATCAGGATGGGTGGGGCCTGCCCTGGGACTTCTTGGGGGCATGAGTGAGCAGGGTGGGTCCAAGTCAGTGGGGGTGGAGCTTGTCAAAGGCATGGCGAGGGGCAGGGTGGGGGCGCTTCCGCGTCTCTGATGCCCACCCCGCTCCATGCCACTGCTGCAGGAGGTGGAGCCCATGAGCAAGGAGAGCGACCACATCCACATCATCGCGCTGGCGCAGGCCCTGCAGGCGCCCGTGCGCGTCGAGTACATGGACCGGGGCCGCGGCGCCACCAACCCCCACGTCTTCCCCGAGGGCGCTGCACCCCGCGTCTGCCTGCTCTACCGTCCCGGCCACTACGACATCCTGTACCCCTGACCTCCAACCCCCGCCCCCCCCCTCTGCCTGCTGTACCGCCCCGCCTGCTGCAGCCTCCTCTCCCCAACCCCATCTCTGCCTGCTCCACTGCCCCAGGAACTGCCCCTGCCACAGACAGAGGTGACCATGGACCCCCAGCTGCCCCAGCCCCTCCCTCCAGCCCCATCAACTGCCCTGGTCCCCTGCCACCTGTTCCCTGCACCTGCCCCAGTGCATCCCCCCACACGTGTCTGTGCTGGTGCTGGGGAAACTATATCCCCCCAAGCTCCCCCTTCGGCC